ACGTAAATTAGCACCGATCTTTGAAGATCAGACCATATGTCTTTATCATGCTGTTTACAATTTTGCTTACTAATAAGTGTTTGCAGACAAACAGAAAAGACATCATGGATGTTTTTTTGTGACAATTGTAGTGAAAAGGAAAGCAAACTGCTGACCCTTTAACCTGCTATGAATTCTTTGTAGCTGCTCCTTTAATGTTTCAGACCTCCTGATGAAAAATTCTGTGATTGTTGCCTCTGATTCAGCTAACAGCATCTCTATAGACGGAGCTGTGCTTAGCGTTGCTTCTCCTGTTGTTGTTTTACTCGCAATGGCTGGTCTGCCTGCTCTGTTGCTTGGGTTCCATGGAAAAATCCCCCAACTCCTAAAGGTTTTTCCTTTTCAAGCTGGAATAGCATCTAGTTCGGAATTAAATAAAGGCAGTTTAATTCCACAATGTTTGTAGCGTTTTGGTATACCATAAAATAATTGATTTCATTTAATATTGAGTGGAGAAATTCTTACATACAGCTGTGATAAAATGCAAAACTGGTTAAATAGACCATTGTTCTGAGTCTGAGAGTTTGCTGTTAAAACAGTCTAAAGTATAAAGAATTGGACTGACTGGAAATCTGAGCAGGACTGCCTATCAGACTGACCCCGCCTACCTCCACCCACCTATTGGGTTTGTACAGGTCTTCGGTTACCATAGAAACAGTCACCGCTATCATCCTCCCTTTAAGATTAACAGACCATATGAGAGGAAAAAATAGAAAGGGCTTGCCATAGTTACAGCAATAAATGCTTGTTTATATAATAATTAAGCAACTGTAAAACGTGACATTTCATTTTCTGCATTTCATAATTATAGGTTAATGAAATGGTTTATACTTTCAAAAAGATATTGTTTTGTTTGCAGAAACATTTATTAGATTTGATATTTAACCTTGTGCCAAAATATGCCAAAGACGTGAAATATTTTTTTAATAAAGGAATCATGATTCTACACTTAGAAGAAAAATTTAGGTCCAGTTTGTAGGATTTATGCATTAATTTACATGACAGATTTTCATTAATTTAAATTTAGTAATCTGTAAGACAAATAAAGATGATATTGTGACTCATTCATAAGTAAAACAGAAATAAACTGCGTAACAATTAAATTTAAGGTAATTACAGTTAGTTGTTTGAGTTTTTGAGTATTACATATGTGAACATTAATTTAGATGTCATATTATGAATATGACATTTTAAAACAACTGATGCAAATGCTTATTATATACACTGCTCAAAAAATAAAGGGAACACTCAAATAACACATCCTTGATCTGAATGAATGGAATATTCTCATTAAATACTTTGTTCTGTACAAAGTTGAATGTGCTGACAACAAAATCACACAAAAATCATCAATAGAAATCACATTTATTAACCAATGGAGGCCTGGATTTGGAGTCACACACAAAATTAAATAGGAAAAACACACTACAGGCTGATCCAACTTTGATGTAATGTCCTTAAAACAAGTCAAAATGAGGCTCAGTATTGTGTGTGGCCTCCACATGCCTGTATGACCTCCCTACAATGCCTGGGCATGCTCCTGATGAGACGGCGGATGGTCTCCTGAAGGATCTTCTCCCAGACCTGCATCCGCCAACTCCTGCACAGTCTGTGGTGCAACGTGACGTTGGTGGATGGAGCAACACATGATGTCCCAGATGTGCCCAATCAGATTCAGGTCCGGGGAACGGGCGGGCCAGTCCATAGCTTCAATGTCTTCATCTTGCAGGAACTGCTGACACACTCCAGTCACATGAGGTCTAGCACTGTCGTGCATTAGGAGGAACCCAGGGCCAACCGCACCAGCATATGGTCTCACAAGGGGTCTAAGGATCTCATCTCGGTACCTAATGGCAGTCAGGCTACCTCTGGAGATCACATGGAGGGCCATGCAGCCCTCCAAATAAATGCCACCCCACACCATTACTGACCCACTGCCAAACCGGTCAAGGATGTTGCAGGCAGCAGATCGCTCTCCACCGTGTCTCCAGACTCTGTCATGTCTGTCACATGTGCTCAGTGTGAACCTGCTTTCATCTGTGAAGAGCACAGGGCGCCAGTGGCGAATTTGCCAATCCTGGTGTTCTCTGGCAAATGCCAAGCGTCCTGCACGGTGTTGGGCTGTGAGCACAACCCCCATTTGTGGACGTCGGGCCCTCATACCATCCTCTTGGAGTCGGTTTCTAACCGTTTGTGCAGACACATGCACATTTGTGGCCTGCTGAAGGTCATTTTGCAGGGCTCTGGCAGTGCTCCTCCTGTTCCTCCTCGCACAAAGGCGGAGGTAGCGGTCCTGCTGCTGGGTTGTTGCCGTCCTACGGCCTTCTCCACATCTCCTCGTGTACTGGCCTGTCTCCTGGTAGCGCCGCCAAGCTCTGGACACTACGCTGACAGACACAGCAAACCTTCTTGCCACAGCTCGCATTGATGTGCCATCCTGGATGAGCTGCACTACCTGAGCCACTTGTGTGGGTTGTAGAGTCCGTCTCATGCTACCACGAGTGTGAAAGCACCACCAACATTCAAAAGTGACCAAAACATCAGCCAGAAAGCATAGGTACTGAGAAGTGGTCTGTGGTCCCCACCTGCAGAACCAGGTCAGTGTTGCTTCCTAAGTGGACAGTTTGATTTCACAGAAGTTTGATTTACTTGGAGTTATATTGTGTTGTTCAAGTGTTGCCTTTATTTTTTTGAGCAGTGTGTATTGATTGTTTGCTAAAACATTTTTAATCATTGTGCTGAATTGAAGCATTGGTTGGATCATGTGTAAAATGGGGTGATGTTGTCAGCCTTTATAACAAACACACTCTTTTGGAAGGGTTTTAGCCGTTATGAGGAAAAGTACTGCAAATGATCGAGAAAATGCTGCTCACACCTCTAGCAATTAAACCATTTGAAATTCTCTTTGGGTAATCTGAAACTTTGGGATTATTCAGGGCTTCCCTCAAAAATCATCCTGTGATAATGCTGTTACAATACTGTAGAAGTTTGTCTGCGACCCTTTTCTGAAGTGTATCTCCAGGTGCGAGCTGCCCTGCCATCAGCAACATCCGGTCCTCTGCACCAACCGCAGTCAGGCACTTGACAGTGATCAGCTGAGGAGGAGGCACTAAAAGTACAAAAGCTGGTGAGTGGTGACTCACACAGTGGTCAAAGTCCCAGAAGGAGCAACCTGTATCCACCACAGCCACTGTAAGAAGGTGCCAGAGCCTAGAAAATGACAACCCAAACATACATCAACTACATCAATAACAAAGAGTGAGTAGTTAAAACTGTCATGTGTCAGGTTCTGGTAACGTCTGACACTGAGAAGAGGAAGAGCACAGAGGGGCCTACACATCACCCCACCAAGAGGAATGGGACTGCACCCACTGTAAAAAGTTACTGTTCCTGTAAACAACATCTCGTCAAACAAACTTTTCAACATCTCCAGACCAGGTCAACTGAAGGGTTTCCTGGAGGCTCTTTATTAAAACCCTGTAATTACTACTACACATTCAAGAACTGCCTGACCACTGGTGAGTGGTTGAAGCAGAGTGAAGGTTTGGCCAACACTGTTCTTACAGGGATATAATAATTTACTGTGCAGTGCTGGACTGTAACCAGTGTTCCTAGTTTATTAAAAAACTGTAAAAGGTGTGAAAAAGTGTAAAGGCTGTTTTGCTTTTACACTTCGGCTTACAGTTTTTTATTTTTAACGGTGAACAGGCCAATCTTGGAAAACAAGTTCTTTAAATTTCTGTGAGAAACTTATTAATGTAAGCTGGTGCCTTATGCAATTCCTACAAGATCCCTTTTTCAACCACAAATAAAGCCCACTGCATTTTCTGTGGCATCTCACAATGACTCACATTTTCTAAATGGTTCTAACAAACCCCTCAATATCTGGCTCCAGAACAGCAGAACAGGACTTATCAAAGTGCTAGGTTCCTATAAACCCTTACTTAGGTAACCAGTATTACTGTCTGAAATTCAGTAATGACTACTACAAATTGTTTAGAAATCCTATTTATATCTCCTTGAAAGAAGACATGTAGATAGTCGCCTCTTTGGGCGGAGGGGCTATAGGGAAAACCGATGACTGGGTGAACAGCAATCACCAAAACACAACAATATTGGTGGGATGGATGGGCCCAGCAGTTTTTTTCATTCTCCATGCAAATGACTTGTAATACCTTGGAAGGACTATGTTTTATGATCTATGCATAAGGCACTAACTTTCACAAGGTTACCTTGACTTCTCTATTACTCTCACAGTCAAAATACCATATCATAGCTTAAAAGCATTTTGTTTAATTGTTGAAACTATGTTTTTTAAAAAAAACAGCTGCTGTGTGCCTTTAAGGGCCAAGTGTTATGATGGTGAAATTTAAATCCCAGTTAATTACACAGCCAGTTTACCCAAAGTGAAACTTACACACTGACGGGTTAAGACCCCAGATCTGACAGCTCAGTCAGTCTACGCAGGAAGTCTCCACCTCAACATCCTGAGCAGGAGGAGGATGGGGCGGGCAGATCACCTGCTGTTGATAATTAGTCCAATATCGACTCCTCTGAGGAGAGCATATGGACAGAAGCTTGTGTAATGTGATTGATGTGGAAAAAGTGACGATCGTTGTGTTTTTTTTTCATCTAACCTTTTTTTTTACCCTTCTTAGCAACACCGATATCAGGCCAGCCTCCTATCCCACTGCTTCAAAGACACAAAGACACAATGTTTTAAACTGCTCGCGAGCTGCTAGAAAAGGAACATTATGTGAGAAATTTGATGTGATTCTTTTTTATTTAAGAATTTTAAAAAAGTTTCAACAATGAAACAATACTAAAAAGACAAACTAATCTTTTTATTTATTAGAGTCTTACCTTTGAGATTTCGGAAGAGGGACGCAAGTCCTCCACTTGCTCGCAGAAGGATAATAGGTGAATATTTATTTTTATTTTGTACCCATTCTTTCATTTTTGGCTGCACAGTGGTGCAGTTGCTAGCACTGTTGCCTTCCAGAAAGAAGGTCCTGGGTTCGACTCCCAGTCGGGAGTCTTTCTGCATTCAGTTTGCATGTTCTCCCCTCGCATGCGTGGGTTCTCTCCGGGTACTCTGGCTTCCTCCCACAGTCCAAAGACATGCCTGTTAGGTTAATTGGTCTCTCTAAGATGCCCTTAGGTGTGTGCTTGGTTGTTTGTGTGTTGCCCTGCAATGGACTGGCAACCTGTCCAGGGTGTACCCCACCTCCCGCTCATAGATCGCTGGAGATAGTCACCAGCTTCCCCGCGACCCACTATGGAAGACGCGGTATAGAAAATGACTGACTTTCATTTTTTTATTTATAAGAAATAAGTAAAATAATTTATTATTTGATTTGTTTTATTTACCTACAAGGAGAAAGACGGGGCGGATCTTCCAGGACGACACCACATCAGACCAAGGTAAGGGGGTCATCCATCACAGATTGAGGCTGAAGATCTTGTGTGGATAAGCTTGCTAACTCTAACTGTAAGCAAGATTTGTCTGACTTTTCTTTCAAGCTAATAAAATCTTTTAAAAAAGTAGAAATTCAGAGTGTTTTTACAATGGGAGATTTACCTCAGTCAAGCACCTTCCTAAATGAACAAGAAACAGGTGTAAATCAGCGAATGCAAATAAATCAGAATGTTGCAGAATCAGGTATTCTGATTTTCCAAAACAATTTTAATGAGATAAATCAAATAGATAGATAATTTCTTCCAGCCATTGCAACAAGCTTTTTGCGGCTTATTCCACCTCCCTCGCCCCCCAGACCCTTTAAGGATTTAAACTGCAGGCCCAATTGAACAGCTTCAAATTCTAATTGAGAATTTTTTGAGACCGCTAGAGGGCAGACATCTGGGGTTAAGTCACCCCCCCACCCCCCCACCCCCCCACCCCCCCATCCTCCTCCACCCCCTTTTCCTCCTCCACCCCCTTTTCCTCCTCTTTCTCCTCCTCCACCTCCTCCTCCTCCTCCTGCTCCTCCTGCTGCGTCTTTAACTGTGACCAGGGCAAGTCTAGCTGGGAGAGGTGTTGTATCAAATCAGAATGATCAGGTTCGAACAACAAATAGTGAAAATTTTAACAATGTGGAATTTAGACAAAACCCTCATTAAATTCTCCTGTACCCAGGTCAGAGGCAGAATTAGCCAAATTCTTCATAAATGTAATGAGCGTTGTTTCATACTTGGCCGGTAGAATATATTCTTTAGCTCGCAAGAATGATGTTGTGCAATGGAATTAGTCACTAATCAACAATCACATCACAGATTTTTCACAGTAAACAATAATGGTAAAAATATTATGGGAGAATCTTGAAGGATTTCCCGGTGAGCGCAGTTCAGTGTAACGCTGAAATAGCTGTCAATGAGAACACAGACTTTATTCTTCAGCTGATTCAGATTCCTCAAAGAGGTGGTCGGAAGCGTAAAGCCGAAACATACATGGCATTGAGATGATACACAAAAAGAGGCAACATCTGTTTATTGTAAACAGTCGAGATGATCAGCTGTGCTTCACCATAAGTTTAACTCACGCATCCGACCACAATCTCACCAATGCACAGGCTACACAATGAGGGACAGAATGGCAGTGTTTCGCTGGTCTTACAGACCAGACACCTGTCTCCTTCTCTCATGTCTGTGAATTTGAGGAAATTCTAAACAGAAAAATTGTTGTCTGTAATAGAAAAGAAAGCAGTAAAGGCCTCTCTAAATTTGAAACAAATTTTTCAGATTGAACATGACCTATTTTTCTCTTTCTCTTCGATCATCTTCGTTACGGAATAAAATCACTAAAGGCCTTCCTAGGGAGCAATAACGTTTGCAATTATGCTTTTCCCCTTTTTTGGCAGAGCACTTGCATTATTGCGAGGGATTTTGTCCTATCTGCAACGATCCATCTGGTTCTGAGCTGAAAGTTGACCCCACAGTCTGTTCCGATTGTAACAGAACCTCACGTAATCTGTTGTGTTATGCCAGGCTAAAACGACAAAAAATCAAACAAAAGCAAAAATGTACGTTAGTGCTTGTTATAGCATAAAGAGATGCCTGAAATGTCAGAGAACTTATTTAAATCCTATGACTATGACTGAAAAACCACACATTTGCCAAAACCAAAAATGTCCCATCTGCAATATTATCTGCAAACTCAGGTGAAGCCATAAAAGACCATGTGGTATATTCAACCAGGGGCGTTTTTAGGCTCTCAAAACATTGGGGGCTTTAGCCCAAATCCAAAATATTTAGATTTCAATAAGACAATTTATATGTAATTTAAAATAAACTTAAAATAATATAGGACATATTGTACCAGTTCTCTGTCTCGGCTGGTTTTAGACTGAATGTAAATTATTGTGAATCAAACAAAAAGGTTTGCAATAATTTATTTTTTTTTTGTAGAGGCGAATGAAGGAAAAAGGAGAAACAGAGTTTGGGCCTGAGAAAAAAACCCATTTTGTGAAGCAAAAAATTTAAAAAACTTTTTGAGGTTTTTAGAAAAGAATTTAATCGAATTTTTTGCTGACAAAAGTTTTTTTAAACTCACAGATTTTTTACTTTGGGCAGTTAAAGGCTTCTTTTGTCATTAAAAATTCCCCCTTTTAAAGTTTACTTCTCATCAAAGGTTTTCACCCCTGAGGCCCCTTTGTCTTTATTCTTATATTTCAAAAAAGGAAATGATTAAATTGATTTTTCCTAAATCTTCGTCAGAATTTATTTTATTATGCCAAGAGTTTCAAAACATTTATTAAAATTGTCCTCTTTAAAACCCTTTTTCCCTTTTATCCCCATTTTTTTCAGCTTCATTCCATTCTGAAAAAAATTTGGCCTGTCAAAAAAAATAAAAGAAAAAATTTTCAACCAGTCTTTTGTTCTGCACAGCAGTGAAAAAATTAGTGCAGTTTTGCTAATAAACACTTTGAGAGGAAAGGGTTTTTAAGTTGGGGTTTTTTTTAAAAAATATGCATAGAGCCTCATCCTGGACCTTATCAGTATAATATTAAAAAGGTATTAATAATTTTAACATTGGTAGAATGTCTCACTTTCAGTAAAACTTTTACCCTTTGTTTTTTTTAGTTTTTTTTATAAATTTTTCATTGTAATCATAAAAAAAAATAGTTAACTAATCAATGGTCCACCTGTGATTAAATTGCTATGATTTATTTTTAAATTTTAAGCTGCATGTTTAGAATTTTAAACAAGAAGTTTGAAAGAGAAGAGGGAGATTTATTTTGGTCTTTTCTACTACGTCTTACTGGAACCAGGAGATATTTCCTGGCTTATTGAGCAACCTTTTTTCTGTCTACATGTAGAACTAGACTAAAAAGACTGGCTGCAGCCATGAGATCAATGAGTTGATCTGAACGACCTTTTAAAATGTTTTCAGCTACGTTAGGATTAAAATGTTTATTTTGACTGAAGTAAAGGACCAGATTTTTTCACATCATGATGCAAATCCCGCTAGAAAGCTCACAGAGAAGGTTGCTACGTTTTCTATCACAGCCACATTTTAATTCACCTGTAGCTCAGGTGAAAGTTTTTCATCATGACCCTAAAGATGCTCATTGGAGTGAACCCCCCCCCTCATGTCTTTGGGGCAATAAGTGATTAGCTGTAACTTACAATCAGCCCCCCTGAGTCAGCATTCAGGTTTCACCGCTATCTTCGTCTGGGTTATACGCTTTGGGGTCCACCTGTTCCTGAACACACACCCACCAGGCTCCCTCTTCGTTGGCTCCATGGTTGCTCTGAAAATGAGCCCTGTTTGAGGCGCTCAGTGTAACTTTTCAGGTAATGAAGAGGCAGGTTGACCTGGAGTAAACTGTTGTTCTGGCTGTACGCGTAGTTTGGCATTCGTGGTACTGTGAGTGCGCAAAAAGCTATTTTTTGTCTTCCCCCTTTTTAAACCATTGTCAGGGTTTGGTGGAGCGGGACGTGATTATTGGAACACAATTAAAAAAAATTGATTTTTTTAATAAAAAAGTGAAGTCCCATACCATTTTTTTGGCTGCATCTTTTTTAAATACTTCTAAATTTTTTACAAAAAGTCCCCGGGCTATTCAAAAAAAACATCCGGGGCATCCCCAGGTAAATGCGCCTGTATTCAACATGGAGGGTTTTAAAAACTCAGTGACAAAATAATTTTCTTTAATACTGAAACCTTTGTCGATGAGAATACACATTCTTTTTCTGATTTCCACAAAGGAGATGAAAGGAATCGAATGAGCTTCTTACGGCCTAAACTGTATCTGCGCTTTTATCCTGCACTTCAGAAGACCATTGTATCGAAGGTTTACATTTAGTGTTCACAACGGGCGTGGATTTGATTTCTATCTGGTCTAGAAGCAATGGTTCAATTGGGAGTAAAACCGTCTATTATAATGCAGGGTAGAAAGATTCTCTGCTTTCCCGAACCAGACTATAAATTAAGATTTATTGTCAGTTTGACTTGTCTTTCAATGAGACTGAGTGCAGTGCCTACAGCTCTGGGGTTTCAAAACTTTTCAAAAGGCTATTTCCCCCACAAGTTCTCCTCAGCAGAAAACCTAAAGTGTATTGAGGCATACCCCACCCCCTGCGAGTACCGAGTGGATCAGATATCTCCCTCAGATCAGGAAAAGTTTTATGCATTGTACAGGGAAGTGTCAGACAACATTCTGCTTTGAAAAAGAGGCTATACTATTGCAAAAATGATGTAGAAATTTTCTTGCAAGGATGCAACAAATTCATGTGAGTGCTTTCACTAAAATCACAGTTGCAGCTGAATGTATGAAGACATTTATTTGTAATTTCCTGTGTCCTAACATGCTCGTGATTCCATCAGTGATAGATTACACGCAATCCACAAAGCTGCTTTCAAACAGATCTGTGCAATTGCTGGAGTTTCTTTCTTTCTCCAGAAACATCCACATTCAGCATGCTCTCAATTCAAGTGAGAAAAAAGTTTTCTCATACTTCCTAGATGGGAACGCTGAAGTGGGTCAAGATAGCCTATGAATTTTATGGCTGTTTCTGGCACTCCTGTAAATTCTGCCTG